AGCCAACTTACATGGACAACTTTGGCCTTGACCATTTCATCCATTTCATCGCAGTTGCCTTCAACAGTCCACACTCCACAATGTCCACCAAGGTACACATTTACTGGCTTTTCTCGTGCGGAAGACTGCCGGCCCCTTCTGAAAGGAAAGGGTTCGAGAAAATTTTTGCCGAGCCAAGAAAATGTGTTGATGCGAACCGTAGATGTCCAGGTCCAGCACGACACTCACGCTCTGTCACAAAACAGTGAGCCGCCGTCAGTACATGCGCGGGGCTGATGAAGCACTCCACTACATCTACTTTCTCCTGGAAATCAATTCATTCTAAACATACACTTTTCACTTTTTCCCAACAAAAGCAGTGGTCGCGATGCCTGGAGGGCGGTGCGGTTTTGATGACGTCATCGAATGCGATTGGTGGAAGGGCGTTAAGAGACGGTCACAAAGTGTTTACGCAAATATTGCTGCGAATGTTACTGCCAAACCCTGCTGCACCTGCTGGTTAGTTAAAGTCACAACCCAAGATGAGTTCAGGTGGCTAAATCGTTTTGGTGTGGAGGATGGAGCTGTTCACCAACGTCGCAGATGCCCCCTTCTCCTGACCTTAAATGCGCAAAGGGCGTAGCAAAACCGCTCGATCGCTTCCATTTTTCCTGTCCGCAGCATCCTGTTCGTGTCTGCGTCTCTCGTCCGCTGTACTCTTTCGCCCCTCCAGGCTCAATCTGTCATTGCCTCAGCCCAAAATTTCAAGCCCTTGACCTTACTAGGTATACCAGCTAATTATTTTCCTTTTTCTTCTTGTCTGCCCGCTTCACACTAATGCTGTCATTTCCGTGGCAAGAACCACATATTTTTGAACCTGGGCGTGCCTTTAAGTTCGAGATTATCGTATCCGAATGTCGCTTATTGAGGATCACTTACCATTATCGATATCGATCATCACATTGTACCTCGGGTGTTCACCGTCGGACATTTTTGCCGCTGAACACATTGCAAAATTACGAAACAAAAATTACAAATTTTACGAAAATAATTTTCAAAAAACTTCCCTACTATCTGATCCCACGCGCTCATCCTTCTCATAAGGACAGCAGGGGGGCATTGTGTGGGAATGCATTTGAGACCCCATAAAAGACGAAAAGATGTCCTTTTGTTGAAAATGGGACTGATCCCTAGGCGGGAGTAGAGAGTCTCCAGGATGCGTGAGTCATTTTCACTCTTCCCCGGATTCCTACTCCAGCCACCCCCTGTTAGTTCCAGAAGAGGCCCCGTATATTGCGATTGCGCCGTTCTGCCACTTTATGATACCAATTTACCCCTTCCCCTCCAGATGGAATAGAAACAGGGTGAGGTAGGTGATTGGGGTTACGGAGGAGCGTCGAGTTGGTAAGAGCCTCCCAAAAAGTGATAGGGCAGAATGGTGGGCGTTGCTTCGAGACCGCCCAAAAAAAGGGGGCTCGCAAATTTTTGGACAAGTGCGAAAACGACGATCGATCTTAGTGAGATCTATTTTGGCAGTACTCACAGTGTACGGTGTGGCCTTCACACGGAGAAATGTCTCCTGTGGATCGACGACTTGTTCTAGAAGTTAGGAAAGAAATGCAAGTAAAAACTCCTACCGTTCAAATGGCATGCTCTATTGAGTCTATTATTGGCTGCTATGGTGATTTTTCGGAGACGTACACTCCCTACCAGCAGTGGCGCATGTCCAAGACAGAGTAGAACAAACAAAACAGGGCCAAAATGTGCCATGTTCAGGACACAATAAGACCTTCCGTAGCTTTTCGCTGATTTGATGCGGGCAATTTCAAAGCTGTTCCCACCAAAAGGTGAGAGACGCTTTTGTTGTTCTTTTAGAAAATAGAAATTTTGGCATATGTGTTATGCAAATTCGGGTCTTTTTTGAAACGGCCACATGAATTTACGGAAGAATGCATAATTTATAAGGGATTAGTGAAGCACGCCTTTGCCGCACGGTTACCTCGCCTTCTTTATTAAATTCCGGCCACAGCGAATAAGAGGACTTTTCATTCGAACCTTGATTTCGTTCTTTTTCATTCCTCACTCCACTCCCTAAACTTTTTTAAAGTACTATTTTCCACTTAAATCTAATTATTTTTCTTTTGAGCAAATTGCCCATAACTGTTGCTGAACTTGCGCTCATCGCCTAGATGATTCGTTTGGAAGGCAAAAACAGGTGGACGTGTTCGTTGAACTTCATAAGAAAATCGGACGCAGACGTTTCCGAGCCTCTTCACAACAGGTGGCCTAGGCAGACTTGTTTTAGACTATCGAAGGCGAGTTGCTACACTCGAATCTCTTCGGAAGATTGAAAGAGCTGCGGTGGTAATGCACTGCCTATATACTGTCATTGAATCCAAAAATAAACCGCAGGGGAGAATCTTTCCATGGGAGGGAACATAACCCCCTCTATATTAGGATAGCATTCGAGTTCAGAAACACCCACGGGTCAAGAATGATACCGTACTCCGCGTTGGGTCCTAAGGGTAAAGCAAAAAGATATAGGCACATTTGCCGTTCAATCTTCCTTTTTGGGATGCGGCACGCATTCTACTTCCATTTGTACATTCGCAGTGGCATTTGAATGCGGGGGCCAGCCGATGTACAAGTCAGTGTTTTTATCCTCCCAGACAAGTCTGGTACCAATTAACCGACCCCGGAGGGATGGAAGGCTTGGTTGGCCCGGGCGACTCACGACCCAGGATTTGATCCCGGACCGCTCGCGTGGTAGCGCGCCACTTGCCACTACACCACTTCCGCCCGGGTGAATGGCGTACCGGGTAACGATACCTACTTCTGCCCTATTAACTATGTGGATGGCATTAGCTGTCTCGAAAGTCTTCGAGGTTGTGGGAACATTGACTCGCGGAAGAATCGAGGAATTGGTTGGCACGCCTTTTGGCGCTCCGGAAGAAAAGCGAAGATCGCTGAAAAGCTGCTGACGGAGCTAAGTGAGAATTGAAAGAGAGTATTTTTTCCCAAAGGTCTGCCCAATACCGTTCTCGTTTTTGACGTTCTCTCAATACCGTTCCCTGTTAACCATAAGTAGCAATTGCAGGTTTAGTTGCTTCCAACACTACCGCCGCTTGCATTTTCCCGGAAATTTTGCGAGTCCTCAACTTAAGGTGGGTTTCGATGCGACCCCCACCACCATTATCAGTCTTAGGAGGTTCCCTCAAGATAGCACCACTCCTCCTGCCCGATCATCATCCTCAACAGATCATGGCTGTTCTTACTCCCCTAATGCCCCACCGTTTTCCTCCAAACATCCATAGATCGCGTGGCCCGGGCCGAGGAGGGGAATCAAAAAGTGGCAATCCACTACACGTGGGGCACACTTTCCAAAGGATAGTTGACCTTACCACCCCGAAATGCACCCCCTCCCGCAATCGCGAATTGCATACCACCTTGTTCGAAGTAGTGTGAATGAATGATTGACTCGAATGCGAGGTCAAACGTCGCGTTCGCACTTTTCCAAAATGTTTTGCTTTTCCCTCCCTTAAGGGGGGGGGGAGCCGACCTGAACTGTCCAACACCATCACCGGTCATAGACGACACCTCTCCTCGCTACCCCGATCACCACCCTCACCACCACCATAGCTGGTTCTGTAATATTTGATTTGCACTCTATACATCCAACTCTGCACCCGCTTTCTCCTCCAAAACTCCAAAACAGCCGCCGAACGGGGGAGGGGAGGGGGAGGAGCAAAATGGTGGCATTCTAAAGCAGGAAAGAAATCCAACAATTTTTTAAGTTCCGCGTTACCCTGGTAAAACTTTGCCGAACTCTTCGAAAAACCCTCCAAAACTCGTCCCATCCAACACAACCCACAATTTCTACGACAGTTCCCAGAGGAACTTGAAGTTGCTCAACTCCGAAATATCCCCCCCCCTCCTCGCAAAGCCACAAATGGGACCCTGTTGTTCGAGCAGTGCGAACATACGGTTGAAAATGTGGTAGTACAGCCGATTGTCACTTTCCCACGCTCATAGCCTCGCTGCCAGTGACCATCATTTTGATCAGAATGTGATCCAAGCGAGTATTTGAAGAGGTGCAAATCCAGGACAGCTAACAAAAAGGAATCAATGGAGCTTTTTTCTCCGTCCCGGAGAAGCGTTAGGATGGCGCTGATTTCGCCCAGTTTTCTGCTCTGCACTCTGCTGATTAACTTCTATTCGGACGCCTTCCCTTTATTTGAGTTCCTCTTCGGATGGCAACCTGCTAGGGCCAAATTACGTAGCTGTCACTGCGCGTCACTCAACGCTTAGGTGTCCAAAAAATCTTGTCAATTGAAACGGAACCCATCTGGACTGTGGCGCCATTACAGGCCCAACGGGAGACCAACGGCGATCTTTTGTTATGTGGCTTCCAATCAGAAGCCGACCACGATTGTAGTCTTGAAACCTGGTTCGGAACAAATCTACGGTCCTCCGTGTGAGATTTCGACAGAGGGCGCATAGCTGAGGACACTTCAGCGGGACGGGTTTCGTCACAGCTATAAGAGACAGAGGCGTCATAGTAGTGGCTGGCCATAATCGCTCTCTTTTCCACCTCTGTGGATTTATTTTCACTGTTTTACGCGAAAACTCGTCCGCAACCATCCGTAAGAAACCCTTTTCAAAGTGGTTTTCTTCGAGTACGGACTCCGTCCAAGTCCTCTGGTTCCGGTTTCCTTTGGCTACTTCTGACCTGGCTCAGGTTCACGCCTACATTCTGGTTTGAAGTCTTGGAAACAGGCTCGCAACAGCCTGATCCATTCCTTTGCACATTTCAAAGCTGCCTCAATGGCTCAATATGTCTAAACGTATTTCTAATTGGTTCAGATGCTGGCGTCCAAATCCGTCGCTCAGATAAGTGTCGCATCGGCCGGCATTCTCCTTACTATCTCGTTGATTACAATTTTTCTCACCGCTAGAGAAATCAACGACGTCTACCGAGAAGCGATGAGGGATCTCGACGAATGGAAGGTGAGCAGCCTTCTCGATCTTCGAAGTTATCGGTGATAGCCTTCTGAATCCGTCATCTGATACTTCCACGGCCCTATTTGAAGCCCTACTAATAGCTTACCCTTTCGATCTAGCCCTTTACCTACCTTTTGGGTTCCACTATTCCTGCAGAATCAAGCCGTCTCTTGAATCGCATGGTTGAGGCACTGTATAATTTTGACGATTTACCAGTTCTTCAAGCCGTTGTATTTTTGTAGTAACTTATTTTTCACCTACTATTATTCATTGAAAGTGCTATGTAGCCGTTAGTTGACCTTTGGGGATAGGGAACTTCCTAATAGGATGGGAGAACCCATTTTCGAACCTAATAATCTGACCATCTCCACTGAAAGCTTGCTTTTGCGGTAATGTTGATGCAACCAGTCACCGATGGCTACCTGGGCTAACCAGCTCTAAGTTTGGAGATGCCTATAATTGGCTCTGAAAGACTCACTTATTTTTCCAGCGCTACTCAGATGAAGCTTGGCACGATATGAAATCGATTCTGCAGCGATCACCACGACAAGCGCCAAAGCGTGCAAAGACTGTGTCGAGGCGTAACTCGTACTACTTTGCCCCGTCGCCAGAACCGTACGCAGCTCCACAACCATCTTATGCCCAAGTGGATATATGCAGTAAGTAGCTGCATCTGCTACGATTAGAGTACCTTCCGACATGCATCCAGTTTTCAGGTTGTGCTCAGCAGCCCAACTATTGCCCAAGTGGGCCTGTTGGTCCGCCAGGTCAGCCTGGCCTTGATGGAGGTAAGCAGCATGTTTAAGGCAATCTGGTCAAGCTTTTTAGGTGTCGTGAATTGGCTATTTCGCTATTGTGGGAGTGGCAAGTGTACAGTTGAGCCTGAAAAACTGTACTCAGAAACGGATCACTTTTTTCCAAAAAAATATTGCACACGCCTTCTCAAAAGCATCATTTATTTTTTGAGGATGTTATGCTCCAGCTGCTGTTAATTGCTTCTGTCAAATTTTTTTTATTATTTAATGGAAATGCAAAGCAATTTCAGCTTAAAGGAATCTTCCGCGGAAAAAGCTCCGCCTCCATTACCACAGAAAAACGATACCCTTAGGCCCCTAGCCTCATGAGCATAGCAAAAAGAACGGAACATAAGCGTTAGTTTCGATAATACTAATCCTACACACAAGACAAAATGATCACTCTTTCCGTGGAAGATTCCTTTGAAGGTATCCGTTTTCTGTGGTAGTGGCTAATGCGGATCGGGCTTTTGTGGAAAGATTCTCTTTACATAGGAAAAAACTTTATTATTTATATTTAAGATTTTATATCTTTCCGTATTAGAGGTGAGATATGCGTTGGGCAAGGCTAACCCCAAAGAAACATCCGTCAGTTTTACTGATTTAGGATTCATTGCTATGCGTCCGCACAACTGTCCTCCACGCGAAAGCACAGAGGCGTTTGGAAGTCGGGACTATGCAACGATATTTGAGTAGCCGCAGGGATTCCCACCATTCTCGTCGATCGGGAGGTGTGGAACTGTCTCTGCGTTGACTGTTTTCAGGCCTTCATTCAGTCCATCGAGCACATTCCTGTTATTTTTGCCGCTGGTGAAAGATTTATTTTTTCGTTAATATTGTTAGTGAAGATTTATAACAAAGCATGCATTGCTCACGTTTTTCGGTAGATTCAAGAATTTTCTGGAACAAAATCTGCACCCAAAATGACCCAAGCAAAGGCTACCCTGAGCGGCGTTTCGCAATACGTGACCAGAGAGGGGTTCTAATTTAGGTCGTGTCGCTCTTCCTGCCGTTATTCGCATGTATAGGGGCTCATGCCATGGAATGCGATAAATATGGTGTTGATTTGGGGACCGCGGTTATGGGATAAATGTCAAGAATGGTTGAAAAAGCATCAAACTCTGCCAACTTCAACACAGCTTCTCTGATAAAAAACCCTACTCACAATCTTTATGGAGTACTTGTTGCGTCTATGGCAGTTGAGGCACCATGTGCTGGCCCCTTTTTGTGCGGTACCATGCAAGCGACAATTCAAAATCAAAGCTTTCACTATGAAAATAACCAGTCGAAGGTTTAGTTGATCTGTTTTGGGTGGCCTTTGACTCTATGTCCGAGGCGTAAAAACTCTCCAAGGATGTACTTTTATGAATCTTTTTCCGACAACGGCAAGAAAACGGCCTTATTCAGCGTGTGGGACTTGCCCCGATACGGCGACTGACGGCATGGGAGGTCTTTCAGAACATGGAAAGCGGTTCTTGAAAAAAAAAAAAAAAAAAAAAAAATAAAAATTTGGGCTTTTTCTGCGAATGTGGGGAGCGTGCTCATACGCAGATGGTTCACATTGTTCTCGAAGCCTCCAGGAATGTCAAAACATGCGAAGAGATGGTCGTAATGTTCGATCCCGGCGTGATGACTAATTTTTTTGCAATATAGTTTGGCGCCTGCCCAGATTGCGCCAAACGAAGCCCATCGTCGAGAATGGATGTCATTGTTGTGTTTTGAGGCAATTTGGAGGCGTCAACATGAATTGCAAAAATTTGTCATCACGGAGGATCGAACTTTGGACCATTTCTTCCCCGCTGTTTTGACAGTTTCCTGGGGGCGTTCAGGAAAAATGGACCATGGTTCTGTGTTCCTCACATTAGCCTCTACAACGATTCAGAAAACCATTTCAGAAAAAAAACGCTCCATGTCCTGAAAGACCTCTTTATGTTAGAGAATTACTGTAGAGGGTGCGCTTTTCGGCTTTTTTTTGGCGTTCAGAGATCCCGCTGGGGAAAAAGAAACATGGTCATTCGTTCTGTGCACGTGGCTCCACATAACGGCGTAGAAGAGGGAGGAATTGGTGATCAAGTTCTGACAGAAACAAAAAACGTCATCCAATGAAAATGTCTCGAAGAAAGATTTGGCATGTCCTGGAAGTGTGGGAAAAGCCTCCTGATAAAGCTTCGTATAAGCAGTCTTAAGCATTCTCCTTCAGCACGGCAGTATCCTCACTTCGAGACCCATTTGAAGCAGAATGGAGGCACATTTGGTGCCTCATTACATAAGTTGCGATGCTGCAGTTAGAGCGAATGTCAAGGTTTGCGACTATTGTGGATCCATCCGCTAAGACCGGTTTAACTGGATGAGGCAAACTAGAGGCCATGCCTAATAAATCTTCAAGCATTGTTTCTTTTTCAAAAAAAAATTTTGGAAGCTCCGCGCTGCTGAGTGGTTGATCGCTCATTGTCCATTTTATTAGAGGTGTTCTATAAGAAAGAGACTAGAACTATTGAAGGAGTTCTCTTATAACCCGAATCGGCAGTGTTGAAGATGGAGAACCAGTTGGAGCACATAATTGCTAAACATAGGTAGAGTGAACGAGATAGGAATAGCGCTACGAGTGGTTGGCGTGCGAGCAGTTACAACTCAGCGGGGGTTTACCAATAGGGTTTGCGGGTTTTCGTCGTTACTCTTTTGGAGCCAACCAAAGATTAGATGAAGGCACGGTATCGCCATTGGCAAGTCTTCTTGGTACGCGCCATGCGAGTAGACTACCGTAAGAATTTTTGAACGAAATGCTATTCTTGGTGCTGGGTTTGACTAAATACAATTAGTAATTGGTGGAAGACCCAACGATGTTATTCGAGTTCACTTTCCTTTTATTCCAAGGGTTTGGCTGATATTCCTCACAGAAATGAAAGGTTTGACAGTCTTGACGGGTACATAAGCAAGGGCAGTGCGAATGGCCTCCCTTGATTCGCCAACATCTACCCACGTTTTCCCGGCTCCCAGGGCAGTCGCGAAAGTGAATCATAACGTTTTGTGGCAAACTCCGCCCACTCTGGTGCACGGCCCACCAACGGATGGCAGTTGACCTGCCTTTCTTCACCGACCTCGGTCCACTCTCTTCTCAATCTCTGAGACTTCTCCGGAACAAATTATCAGTTTCATGGCAAACCCCGCCCACTTTGGTGCCCTCCCCTGGAGAAGTAAGGTATGCTTCTCCGAACAAGAAAGGCGCCACATCTTGGTGCTCTCCCGGGGATCGGAGAAGGCCAAACTCACCGGTTCTCGGTGATATCTCCCGATTGCATGTCAATCACGGGGATATCTCCCTTGCATGTCAATCAGGGAGATATCCCGAGAACCGGTAGGCGTGGCCTTTCCCGAGTGTTCCCGTGGAGAGCATACCTTACCAGGATGGGGTCCCTCCCTGTTCGGGAAAGCATATGTACCTTACGGCCCCTGGTGGTTCTTCAGGTGATCCCCGAGTCTCGTGGCAGACACACACCCACAAACAGATTTAGCGCTTTATATGTAGGTATCTCGCGTATTGGGCGACAAAGGGAGGAGATCTTCTTCTGTTTTCAACGAGGTACTACTTCCGACTACTGGAGGTGTGAAACGGACCTCAGAAATTGATGTATTTGGTTTAGCTCGTTGTAAAATAGTCAAGCCAATAGTGTTGACAGTACTTTGACCTACATACTAGACCTTCGGCAACCTTGCATGAAAAGATCCTTTCAGACACAACCTCAGCATTGATTAACTAAATGTTTCAGAGAACGGTTATCCCGGACAACCTGGGCAACCGGGCTCGGACGGTATCACCGTTGGTACATACCAGGAGAACCTTCCAGGCTGTATCCACTGTCCCGGTTGGCCCTCCAGGACCACCTGGAGTGATGGGATACCCAGGAGAGCAGGTACGGGAGTTTGAAATATTAGCTCAATTGTTAGCCATGTTCAAATCAATGTTGAAAGTTCAGGGCCCACCCGGAGCAGAAGGCTGCCTGGAACAGTCGGATACGCGGGACAACCTGGACCATGTGGGCCTCCTGGAGATCCGGGTCTCAACGGTAGCATAATTTCTGAAGTTAACCTGTGTTGTGTTCAAAAATAGTAAATTATATTTCATACAGGAGCACCTGGACTTCCGGGCCCACCAGGAGAAAACGGCTTTGATATGGTTGTTCACATAGGCACTCCGGGTCCTAAAGGTCTACCAGGGAGGTCTGGTCCTCCTGGAAGGCCAGGACCCCAAGGAGTTTGTCCGCCGCCAGGCCAACCTGGTCCCGTTGGGCAGCCTGGTCCCCCCGGGACATC